CGCCTCTGGTGTTCCAGGTGTCCATGGGCGACGCCGATTGCTTACCATCAGGTGATCCGTCTGCTCGTTTACCGGCTTATGCCATAAAAAAACAGTTCTTAATTAGTATTGAATTAAGTATCAAGGAACTTACTTAGGTAAAGATGGGTCGGCACTGCAAAAATGGCGTATATCAGCGCAGAGCTCCTTCCCCATGTAGATTGCGGCACCGGAGCACCAAACCCTGTTATTAGCATACTTTATTATTATTTGAATAATTATGAACGTGTTTTGATAGGAGGTGGTGCTTTGGTTCTTTGGTTTTATTCTAGTTTAGTTAGTTAGTTTAGTTCTGGTTTTGTTGGACTTAAACTTGCTGTGTAATTATGGTGATATAGGAACGTCAGCAGGGCTGATCCCCGATCCGATCCCAGCAGGTTCAATCCGATCCTGCGGACATCGCCGATCGCCTAATCGCGAGTTACTGGAGCTTCGGCTCGAAGCAGGATTTTCCTACCTCAAAAAAGGGCGACTTTAGTCAGTTAGAGTCTGACACTCTTCTTCACCTAGTACGGGAAGAGCAATTTGATCATTTTCTCTCCTTAAAAAGGCTGATTGGTTTATGCAAGGAGATATTAGTTCTTCCTCATCAGTCGAGTGGTTGGTCGTAAGGATCAAGAAGAAGGTGAAGAAGTTTTGCAAAGTTAGGACATTTAGTGGATAAGATCAGAGGGAGTTACGACCCACAGCAATGTGAGAGACATCTTAGAAGAAACTAAGACTAAGAAACGAAATATAGTTTGCCATCTTGAAAATTTTAAAACAGAGTTTGAATTGTCCTAGTGTAACAACCAACTACATTGTAAAGTGATGAGTCTAAAATTTACCAACAAAAAACAGGCATAAATAGTGCCTAGGCACCCTAAGAGCAGCTGATGCCCGATACGGAGCCGCGGAAGGCCTAACGGGTTGTCGGGGCTCCGGCTCGAAGAGCAGGAGTAAGAACGGGGTGGTTTTTAGACAGTAATAGTCTGACACTGCTTTTCACCTAAGCCAAGGCAGGAGAAGTCATTAAATGATTTTCCTCCCGCCAAAAATCCCTAAGAGGTATCATACGTACCTAAAGCGGTCATCACGTAGATAGTGAAGAGGAAAGTTCCAGAAAGGTCCCAGAACTGTCCCGTCTGTAGACGAGCTCCTCGGCTGACGGCATACGTGGTGAGGTGTCTCACATCCTGGATCCGACGTTCTATTGCAGTCTTCCATCTTGGAGATTGAGGAGTTATCTAAAAATACAAAAACGGTGGTCGTGGCGGCCGGGGGGCTTAAGATGCCTGTGCTTCTCATGCATGAGAGCGCAGGTTTAAAACCTATCAACAGCAAATATCAATGTGACTTTTTCCGAGATATATGTACTTACTAAGATTATTGTTGGTTTAAAAAATCAATATGAATTCTGTAAAATATAAATAATATAAAGCTAAAATATTTACACCTTAAAAAAATAATAAAAATATATCATAAGGCATCAAAGAAAACATTTTCCTCATCGTGAGGCCCTACCTCACGATGAGGAAAATGCCCAAAAGACTGGCAGCATTCCCACGTTGAATGGCAAAAAAATTATTGTGGATTGATTAGATTATTGTTTAGACGTTACACTACTGATAAACGTTGAAAGAAAACATCGTGAGGAAACCTGGGCCTATAATTTCTAATTATAAGTTTGAAATCGCAATGAGCAAGCGTGGTGACTAATGCTCAAATCTTGTCCACGCAAGAAGAGGCCTGTGGTAAGCAGTGGCCTCTTATAGGCTGTTGATGATGATGATGATGATGATGATGAAAACAAAAGTATAAGAACTGCAAGCTTCGAATACAAAGGGTCATACAAAAGAAGTACCTATAATACTGCTGGGTACATTAGCTGTGTATGTGCTGACTTGTGGTTTCCGAACGTAATTCACAAGTTTTTGTTCCATGTCTGGGTTTGATATGACTAAATTCCACATTTGATGTTTAACATATTTATTGAACGAATTCGCCGTTTGTTTCCAATTGGTTTTGTACTAGGAGTTACAGAACCAATGAGGAATCATAGTAACCATAAAGGTTGAAAAAGTTTCTCAAGCATTTCCTTAAAAAATAGGTTTTATTAATGCAGTACTTAATTTTATTACACTAATATGTTTTGAAACGGTTACCTATCAACATACCTAGCCTTGTAAACCAAAGCTTATCCTTACATATACGCTCGCATCGCGCGGTCGCAACACTCGTGTCCACCGGTCGCGACGATAATTATTATTGTGTAGCAAATATCCACAGTCGATTGTGACTAATT